TACAACAATTAGCCTTCTAATTTTGGACCCATAAAGAGAGGAAACTTTGGAGGCAGAAGCTCTGGCCCCTACTGTGGTGGAGGCCAATACTTTGCCAAACTACAAAATCAAGGTGCTATGGCGGTTCTAGTAGCAGCAATAGCTACCTTGGCACTGGCAGACGATTTTAACCCCTTTAAGCCTGAGGTTGCAATTTTTCTTTGAATTTGAAAAATCAGACCTTGACGATGACCTTGAGAAAGTAGAATATAAATAACTCCCATATGCTTAGCATTCCAATAATGGAACACTGGGCATAAATGGGTTCCAAAAAAGAAGGTGGCTATGGCGGTTCCAGTAGCAGCAGTAGCCATGGCACTGGCAGAAGACTTTAATCACTGCCAGGAAACAAAGCTTAGCAGGAGAGGAGGGCCGGAGAAGTAACAGGGAAGCTACAGGTTACAAGGCATTTGTGAACTCAGCCAGCCAAGCACAGTGGTGGCAGAGCCCAGCTGCTACAAAGAAGACATGTTTTAGGCAACACTCATGTGTATGAGCAAAAAACTCCAGGACTGTATTTGTGACTAATTTTATTAACAGGTTAGTTTCCGTTCTGCAGAAAGTATCAAGCATTCCAACAAAGGGTTTTAATGTAGTTTTTTTTTTTTTTTTTTCTTGGATCCATGCTGTTGATTGCTAAATGTTAATAGTCTGATCATAACGCTGAATAAATGTGTCTTTTTTAAAAATGTGCTATGTAAAGTTAGTCTCCTCTGAAGCCATCTTGGTAAATTCCCCCACCGGTGTGAAGTCAGAATCCCTCAGGGTAATGTCAGGTTTTACCTGGAACTTATTTACAATCTGCTTGGGTGGAGAGCCACTCTCTTCAGTAAGCCTGGTGTAGCTGAACTGACAGTTACTGTTGTGACCTGCAGTTCAACACGAAAGGTGATCGCCCAAGCAAAATCATAGAATTATTGGTTATAAAAATGATGTCGGCACACCCCATGCAAAATATCTAAACTGAATAATGATACCAGATAGCATTTTAGATGGGAATGAAGCTTGTGCATCATCCATAATCGTAGCCAATAAACGATTTAATTCTCTTAAAAAAATGCTGTGAACTGGGTAGCTTATAAACAACAGACACTTATTTCTCACAGTCCTAGAGACTGGAAGTTCATGGTCAAAGCACCAGCAGATTCCGCGTCTGATGAGGACTCCTCTCTGGTTCATAGATGATGCCTTCTGAGTCCTCACATGGTGGAAAGGGCAATGGGTCCTTTTTTCCCTCAACTTCCCAGGTTCAAGCAATCCTCCCACCACAGCCTCCCACATAGCTGGGACCACAGGTACACACCATCATGCTCAACCAATTTTTTAAAATTTTTTGTAGAGATGGGGTCTTGCCATGTTGCCCAGGCTAGTCTTGAACTCCTGGGCCCAAGCAGTCCTCCTGCCCCAGGCTTCCAAAGTGCTGGGATTACAGGTATGAGCCTGTGGTGTGGCGCCTCTTTTATTAGGGTATGAATCCCATTCCTGATCACACCCCAAAGCCCCTCCTGTTCATATCATCACCTTGGGAATTAAGTTTGAACATAATAATTCTGGGGGGACACAAACATTCAGAACATAACAACTGTGAGTGATTTCGGGGTTGGCCACAGGCAATTACACAGGCTCTTGGCTCTCCCTGGCAGGCCTCCTGGGGAACACACCCTCTGCACACACCAGACTTGGAGCACTGCCCAGGTACTGCAGCCCCTGGGGAGGTGCAGTCAAGGCCCCATTCGGCCAGCCACGCCTTTTCATGTATTTCCCTCCTTAGCCCAGTGCCTTCTTTCCCAGGGATCCTTATTTAAGGCTGTGGGAGTGGAAGGGACCCCCAGCTGGCATATACCCAGCACAGCGACTGGGAAGCTATCTTGACCATTCTACCTTTGCCCCTCACTTGGCTGAAACCCGTCACTTCCCTGCCCTTAATTCCAAGGGACATTTTCGAGACTTCAGTATCCTTTCCAACTCAACAGCACAGGACACTTCACTCCCTCCCGCGTGCAATGTTTTCTTCAACTCTCACCTCCTATCAGCTCTCCTGACTGTCCTCCCACCTCACCAGCTGCTCCTTCCGGGCGTCTCCTCTGCCACTTTAGCTTCCTCTCACTGGAAAGACAGCTTCTTCCTCGACTTTCTCTGCACTCTCCTCCTAACCACCTCGCCCAGACCCACCACAGGAATAGTGAAGGGAAGTAGATAAGGTAGGTATTATATTTACAATCTTTTTTTTTTTTTTTTGAGAGTTCTTGCTCCGTCGCCCAAGCTAGAGTGCAGTGGCGTGATCTCAATTCACCGCAACCTCCCGGGTTCAAGCTATTCTCCTGCCTCAGCCTCCTGAGTAGCTGGGACTACAGGTGCACGCCACCACGCCTGGCTAATTTTTGTATTATGAGCAGAGGCAGGGTTTCACCATACTGGCCAGGCTGGTCTTGAACTCCTGACTTTGTGATCCGCCTGCCTCGGCCTCCCAAAGTGCTCAGATTACAGGCGTGAGCCACTATTCCCAGCCCATATACTTATAATCTTCTAAGTGGAAAAGGCAGCGAGAGCTTACATTGTATAATATTAGGCATTTTTCTCTCATTACCATCTTCCACATGGTGATCTTTGAAGTGAAACATGATAAATTAATGCCACCAGTCTGCTCAAAACCCAAAGGCTTCCTGTCATGCTCAGAGTAAAGCTAAAATCCTTTCTATGGCCTATGAGAAACCCCACAATTGAGAATCCCCCTTCCTGCCTCACTTTTTCTCTTGTACTCATCCCTCTTCTCTGTCCCCCTTCTCCAGGCCCTCTGGCCTCCTTACTGGCCTTGAACATGCTGGCCACACTCCACTTGGGACTCCATATTTGCCGTGCCCTCTGCCTTGGAGGCTCTTATTCACAGGATGCCAGACATCCCAGTAGCTCTTCTGAGCTATGCTCATATGGCACCGTGGCAGGGAGGCCTTATCTACATAATATGGCAACCCCAAACTCCTCAACCTGCTCTGACTTTTCCTGTGGCTGTTTGACACATTATATACTTACTTGTTTGTTCACTGTTTCCTCCAATTAAAATTTAAGTTCCATGCAAAAGACTTCTTTGTGTTGGTCACTGTTATTAACAACTGCATCTTGAACTATGCCAAATATATGTGGGAACTTGAATATTCAATAATGAGATCACGTCCTCTGGACTCACGGTGCTTGTATATACAGCCGGTTACTCTAATCTTTGATTACTTCTCCACCTATCTTTCACCTCTCTAGACAGTGAGCTCAAGATAAGTGACGTCACATTTGCATCTCCAAAGTTTAGAGTAGCACGATCCAATAGAACTTTCTGCAGTGCAAATGTTCTATATCTGCCCTATTCAATACAGTAGGCTTCAACCACATGTGCCTACTGAACACAGGAAATGTGGCTGCTGTGACTAAGGAACTGAATTTTACATTTTATTTAATTTTAATTAATTTAAATTTAATTGAGGCAGGCGCGGTGGCTCAAGCCTGTCATCCTAGTTTTTTGGGAGTTCAAGATGGGCGGATCACTTGAGGTCAGGGTTCAAGATCAGCCTAACATGGTGAAACCCATCTCTACTAAAAAAAAAAAAAAAATTAGCCGGCAGTGGTGGCAGGTGCCTGTAATCCCAGCTACTCAGGAGGCTGAGGCAGGAGAATTGTTTGAACCTGGGGAGGCGGAGGTTGCAGTGAGATCGCACCACTGAGCTCCAGCCTGAGCAACATAGCGAAGACTCTATCTCAAAAAAAAAAAATTAATTGGCCACACGTGGCTGTGGTAATAATGTATGGTACAGCACAGATGTAGAACGTCAAGTGGAGCACAAAATAGTGGCTCAAAAAACGTCACCTTAGTTGGGTAAGCCACATAGTGCCTTACTGACATTACTGTTTATAGGTTCTCGTATTACTATTTACAGAGTTACAGGGTGCAATGAGAACACATACTTGTCTTATATTGTGTGAACCCAAAACGCTAGCCCAGAACTCTGCCCACAAGAAGTGCTGAATAAGTATAATGACAAGGAAGGAAGTCAGGAAGAGACAAATAGGAGATCCTTATAAAATACGATTCATTTTTAAATGTTCAACTTCTGTGACAGCACACAACAATAACATGCAATATAATCGCATGCAATAACAAAAATTCTCATGCGCAGTTCCTGCCCCACTGCTATTTTAACCTTCTTGCTGGAGGAAGTAACACTTACCAAGTCTCGTGGGTAAGGCGCAGACACAAGGGCTTTTATTAAGAAAAAAAATCTCTTACCAGGGCTCGCTACCTTTCACTTATCAATGTCCGATTTGTTTTTCCTCCAGTTTCCCTATTTCCAAAAGAACACACAGACACACACACACACTGCGCTGTTTTTCCTACAGTTTCCCTATTTCCAAAAGAAAACACACACACACACACCCTGCCCCATAGACCTCCAGAGGCAAACAGGTGCTACCTTTCACTTATCAACGTCCGGGTTGTTTTTCCTCCAGTTTCCGTATTTCCAAAAGAAAACACACACACACACACACTGCGCCTCATTTACCTCCAGAGGCAAACAGGTGCAACAAGCCGAGGGGCCTGGCTCACTGCAGCTCGCAGGATAACGCCCTGCACGGGTGCTGCACCGCCGGAGGCCAGACCCCGCACAAGGCTCCGAAAACCGAGCAGGGCGTGGGAGGACAGATGATGCTGGACAGCGAAGGCAGGCATTAGCGGCTTCCTGAGAGTCAGGAGGCCAGACGGGGAAGTCGGAGGGTAGGTCTCAAAGTGGGCTAAAGTAGACCCCATGGAAATCGGGAAAGTTCTCAGAATCTCCCCGGGAAGCAGGCTGAGCCCTCCTAAATCCACCGGCCCAGCAGAGGACGCCCAGACCCACGGCCTCGCAGCTACTCCACCCGCTCCGCGCGTCCTCACTGCGACCGGGACGGCGGGCAGCCCCAGGGCGCGGGTTCGCTACCTGCGCGGTCAGGCCCTGCTCCTCGTCGTCCTGGCCGCTCAGGACCCGCCGCAGCTTCTCCATGGCCTCGTTCCCGGGCGGTAGCGCCCGCCACTCCACCGCCGGCCCCTGGCGCCCTCCAGGAAACCCCGAACCCGACTCCCCACAGACCGGCCAAAGGTCTGGCCCGCCCACTTCCGGCGCGTCTGCGCGGCCTCGGCGGCCGCCGTAGCACTCTGCGCATGCTCGCCAGCCTTCTCCTCAGGCCTGTCGGAGGTCGGTGAAGCCCGCGGAGCGGGCGCAGGCGGTAGGGGTGTCCCGTCCCGTTGT